TCTGGAGCTTAAGATGTATCACCACAGTTTGCCTCAGCTCTTCAGAATCGCTTCCTAAACCATCTGTTAAGGCATAGGATCTGCCATATGACTTCTGCAGAAAAGGCAGGGTTAGAACTTGTGTTGTATTATAATTTGCACTTCAACATTGTAGGCTTTATTTTATAATTGCTTTTCTTTTGTACATTCTTCTGACTATTTTTGGAGCAGGGAAGAGCTCAGAGATAGTCTCCATTATCCTCGCTCACTGTGCCGCAAACCATACAGAAACAGGTTAACAGAAAAATATTGCACTTCTAATCAGCTGCATCTGTGGTACAATGAGAGATAGAAGGTGGCATTGAGCGAGGGAATGGCTCTAGCAATGTCAGTCAGGGGCAGTCCAATCCAGGAAGAGTACAACACTGTGAGTGAGGAGAAAAGAAGAAAATGGATGAGGGAAGAAGGGGGAGAACCAGATTGGCAAAGTTGTAGCTTTCTGCCACTTGGACAAAGCTAAGATCTTACCTATAATCATTTACAGTTGGAAGGTAGGAAAATTCCTGGGATATCTAGGAATAGAACTATCCTGGATCCTGCTAGAGGTAGCAGCCTTTCGGTTCACGTTTAGCTTGGTCATCAGAAGAAACTTAAGGCTATAGATTAGAACTCTCCTTTTCAAATTCCAGCAACTCTGACAAGGAAAGGGTAGTATAAAATTATTCAGAATAATTATACATTGTATTACATAATTAGATTATCTTTTAATCTAGTGCAATATTATAATTTGTTTTTCTGTGCCAAATGAGCAAGATTAATCTTGGTGTTTTACTCCATTTTTACTTGTTTCCATGAACTAATTCTTTGGTTTTTGCTAATAATATGACTTTAAAACTTGTACGCTGACTACAGCAGGAGTGGGGAACCTGAATTGTGCTGAAGGCCATAGGTAGAATTTGAATTATATGGACATATCATTGTAACTGTAACTGAAAAGTAGGCAAAGCTGAATCTAAGGCAGAGCATCATTTACCAGAACTGAAGTGTCCATCTCTTATAATGGTGATAAAACCTTTATAATCCAGTAGTGTCAGGCCCAACCCAAGAACAACGATGAAACAGTCCAGTCTAGTACAGTTCCTTTATTTGCTTACACCTTATAGACAGAATCTTGCCTCACTAAATCTATACTACAGCAATAATGGATATACCCTGGGAGATTCTAGGGAGTGGCTATCCTGAATCTCTTTCTTTTCTTACATTCCCCTGCGGACTATGTTGCCTCTCCACCCCCGGAATGTACCCCATACTTCCTGATAGCCTTGATCTCCCACAAGTAGTAAGCATAGACACTTAAGAGTAGAAACAATCTATAAATTAAACATGGTGGCATTTAAATTCATTTCTATTTGCCAAAACTAAAATAACTATAGTGTATTTGAAAACCAATGGATGTGCTTTGTTGTGCTGGGAAAATCTCTCTTCATACTTAATTTATGTTTTATTTAGTTGTTCAGATATTTAAAAGGACATCATTTCACCAGTATTGTTTGTCAATAACTACTTTTTTGTGTTTTTATAAGCTTATGCTTATAAAAGTTAGCATCTAGTTACATTGTCTTCTACTGGCCGCCTTTTTGGTAGTTAGCAATTTTTCCAAGCATCAAAATCTTCTCCAGTGACTGCTTTCACATTGTATATCCAAAATATCTGAGCTATAGCTTCATTATTATTGCCAACATCACAGTTCAAAGACATCAATTTTTCTTTGTTCAGCCTTTCTGATGGTCCAACTTTTATGTTACAACTGGGAAAATTGTGGCCTTGACTTGACATAATCATAGTTTTTAAAATATTGAACAGCAGATTGGCCTTTGACTCTCTTCTTTTGCCTTCAACAAGAATTTCCTTAAACCTTCTTTGCTTCCAGATATCAAAGTGGCTTCATCAGCATAGCTGAGGTTGTTGATGTTTCTCTCAGCAATTTTAACTAATTTCTATTACTTCTAATCTATCATTTCTATGATAAATTCTGTATACAAATTAAATAAATATGGCAACAGTAGACAGTCCTGACATACATTTTCTCAGTATTGAACCACATAGTTGTACTATATTCCATTCTAATGGTTGTTTCCTGGTCATTCAGCAGATTCTTCAGTAAGCAGATACAGTTCTTTATGTTAATGGCACACTTTATATTGATAATGATTAACCACAATTTGTAGTTTACAATTCAAAAGCATTTTGCAGAGGAGTACAGATAGCATTGAAGAAGATGAGCAACAACTGTTAAGAAAACAGGAGTGTAGTCCAGAAAAACAGGAAGCAGTGAGAAAGAAATTCAAAAGAGCCTTGCCTTGACTCTTTTAATATAAGAAAGAGGGAAAGAGAAACATTGTCAAGCTTTCAAGATTTTGTTATCAATAAAGTAGAGTTTTGATATTCATTGTGGTGTGTTTCCTGACCTAGTCTACCTTGAAGGGCCGACATCTTGTATAATCAATAAGATAAATGTTTTGGAACTCCTACTATCCAGTGGATGCTAGAGATGTTATATTGGGTACCCCTGCTCGTTCTGACTCCAGTCTGTATGTCTGACAGTCTTTATTCCATATATTTTTGAAATCTAGATTGCAAATCTTGACATTATCTTACAAGTGTGTATGATAAGTGAAACTGTTGTGAAATAAGTTCAGCTATTTGAAAAGTTTAAGCCTTCTCTAGCACTGCCCTTTTTTGGTATTAGAATATAAATTGATCTTTTCCAGTTTCTTGACCACTGCTATTTTTCCCTACATTTGATAAGATTTTAAATATCACCAGCACCTATAGTTTTTTTTTGTTAGCAATGTTTTCTAGGGTCTATATCATTTCATTTTCCAGAATGTCTGGTAGTAGTTCAGTGATCTAGTAGTTCAATTTGGAGATTTTTTTTTGTACAGTTTTTCTATACTTTTGTACCATGTTTTCTCTATTATCTTCTTTCTTCAGTAGATCTTTGCCTTCTTTGTCTTTTATTGTACCCATCTTCACAGAAAAGGTTCCCTTGATTTCTGTAATTTCCAAGAATCTTCCTTTCATTCTTAGAAAAACAGGACAGTGTAATGATTCATTATTCACCTGTAACTATTGTGCTAATTTTTTTTAAAAATACAGCAGCATTTGCAAATATGGAACACATGTAAGAATTTATAAGAAATTGTATTAAAATCTTTATATAAAGATTATAAAGCAGGATTATGTAAGGATTACAAAGCAGACCATTGTACTTCAGGTATTAACCATTCACACAAACCTTTATTTCTATGTGATGCTGCCACAGTATTGTCAAAGCTTTTGAAAAATGTATTATATTTTTATTTATACTATAGTAACTACTTTTTCAAAGTACTTGTTTTAAAGGTGTCTTACAGTTTGAATAATTATTTTTTCACATTTGGTAAAATAACAGAGATGAACCAATTTTCATCAGTGATTATGTATTAGGAAAGACTGCTTTAAATTCTGTGACAGGAAAAAGATAATATGTTATATTTAGTCATTATTGTATCAGTTGGTTTTCCTATTCCTCTGAAACAGGTTTCACTGAGGACACTATAGGCATGGTAAATCAGTGAAGTTTGACTCTTCCTCCCATTGAAAAAGAGTGCTATATCAGAAATTTTATGCAGACACAAGGAACTTTTTATCCATGGAAGATAAATACTGAAAAATATTTTTTTTAAAAAATCAGGATGTTATAATAAGTGATTTTTATGCTTTTGACATTTGTATTAGTAAATCTTTTTATATTAATTCAACTTTACTTATTGGCAAACAAGAACTTTGGAATTGTTTACAGTTACAAGTACAAATATTTTTATCTTCAATTGGAATGAAAATTTTTGAACATGGAATTATTGTTAATAAGCAAAAAAACCCCAAAAATATTATAGGAGGTAGAATATTGCTTATAAGTTTATAAATAATTAAGTATGCTTATTTTTACTTGCTGTTCTATTTATCTTAATAGCTAAGAAACCTTTCCAGCTTGGACTTACGTCATATCACAGAACTGGATAATGAAACTGTGATGGAGATAGTAAAGAAATGCAAAAACCTTACCTCTCTCAATCTGTGTCTGAACTGGATTATAAATGACAGGTAACTTCTTTATAGAAAAGCAAAGTGAAATCACAGTATTAAGTGTTACCAGTAGAAGAGAATATATGTAGTTCAGGATTGAACTGTGGAGTCCTTGGTGTTCTCTGAGCTTGGTTGTTTTCTTGCAGACGTTACTCAATTAGGTAACATCTTCAGTGCTAGAAGGGAGTGAGGTTTGCTCTATATATACAGTAGCTTGTAGCTTGCTACTGTATATAAACAGAGAGTAAACCCCACTCCCTTCTACCACTAAAGATGTTACTTAGATAATAAAATGTCTGCAAGAAAACAACCAAGGTCAGAGAACACCAAGGACTCCACAGTATAAAGTATTATTAATAATTGGTAATATTCAGCAGATAGAGACAACTGAATTAAAAGATTAGTGAAAGATTTGTTAGTTTAGTGTAGCTAATTAAGTGTATTTTGATTTTTTGTTTTTGTTTTTTAGTTAGATGCTTGTCTAAAATATAGTGTATGTATAGTAGTAAACCTGATTCTAAATGTATTGGTTCAATAGGCTTATTTTAAAAAAGTGACTCTGTTCCATTTATTTGTTTTGCAAAAAGTATTATATATTTTCCATTGAATATTTTGAAAGCATATTTTTATATTTTATGTAGTCTAAGTATAATTATCCTATTGGTAAACAGAAATATATTAGAAAGAAATGGTGACCTATTTCTTGTTTCATAGAATTGTTTTTCCATTCATGGAGGCAACTAGATTCCTCAGTCTTATGAAGGCTTAATATATGAGCATGAAATATATTGTTAGGAGCTTCAGGAGGAAGTGAGAACATTACCATCTCACCCCCTTCCTCTAGTATTAGTGAAATTACCCTGCACTTGTGTCAGGATTCTATATTCTTGAAATGGAGGTTTTTGAGGTGATAATCATATATGTTAGTCATATATGTCATGTTTGTATGCCAAAAGGGATACATTAAATTATTCCTTTTGCAGAGAAAGGTGAGTTTGTGGGTATTTCAGGGAAAAAGAGAGGATGAAGAATATTTGAGTAAAATAAATACTATAATTACATATTCTGATCATAAGAATGCCAAGATTTTGAGACTATGAAGCTAAAACTGGATGGAGAAAGAACATATTTTTGGTACTTGTTAGGTGAAGGTAGTACAACTACTTTAAGGGCCAAGAACCAATTGTAAGGGTATCTTCAAGCACTCTTTTCTTTGTCAGACTTACAGTATAATGAAATAATGACTATTCTTAAGTAGCTACTATGCATAGGTTGCATGAGTAGATTTCTGCTGTAATAGATGTCAGGGCTCTATTAGTTATACATCCTTCTTGATATATCAGTTTTTCTATTTTAAAAACAACATGTGGTAAGGTACTAATTATTTTGTAACCGTATATTTGAGTGTTACATTGTATTTTAGTCTAGTTTTAGTAAGTTTAACAACCTTGAGCTCTTGGCTAAAAGGAAAAAAAAAAGGGTGGCTGGTGTGGGTCTTCTGGGCTGTGTGGCCGTGTTCTGGAAGTTTGATTGACTGATGAAGGAAAACAGCCACCCACCAACAAAGTATTTCTGCCCAATATCAAAGGGGTCACGGACCGCATGGGAAAATTGATGGAAAAACACAACTTCCAAACCATCTTCGGACCCACCAGAAAAATAAAACAAATGCTAAAATCAGCAAAAGACAAAAGGGTTCCCCTCACTGCTGCAGGAGTATACCGCAGACCATGCAGCTGCGGACAAGTATACATCGGGACCACAAAACGCAGCATCC